GGTGGCACCTATTCTCTTCCCTCTCCCTCCCAACACTGAAGGTGAAGCTTTAGGGGAGAGAGAGGGGCTGAGCCCCCTGCCTGGCTTTGGGGAAAGGTCAGCCTTAGAGCAAGGCCTGGGCCTGGTGGGGTGGGCAGAGCTCACAGTGCTCCCGAGCAAGAGGAGGAAGCCCCCAAGGCAGCTCCCTGATTTTTCTTCAAAGCCCGACCATAATCACCCTCGGGGTTGCTACTTCTCTGTCTTCCTGCAGAGAGACCTAGACCTGGCAGAACAACAGTCAGGCTGGTGGAGGCTGGGGAAGGGGGCAGGGGAGCTGCCTGCTGGGCCTCCTGCTTTGCTTCTCCTACCATCCTCTTCTCCTCTCCCTTGATTTTCCTCCTCTGGCTCCTCCTCTCTCTTCGGTCTTCCTTTCCAGTCCAGCTATAATGGGGAGCTACCCCTGCACAAAGCCCAGGCTTCTGGCCCAGAGGAAAGGAGGACCTGGAACAGGACAGGACCCCAACAAGAGAGCAAGGGCTGCATGCAGGGCACTGGAGCGCTTGCTGAAGTTCACCATTGGAGCACAAGACAGAGTCCGTGTCTGCCAGCCTGGCCCAGACCGGCAGAGAAGCTGAAGTCTGTACACGTGACAGTCGGTGACACGGCAGCTGGCCTCTGCCCATCCAGCTGTCATCAGCAATGTCAAGTCCCACATCCTGGACTTTCTGCCCAGGCATTCCCCTGCAAAGCCAGCCCCATGAGAAACTGGGTTTACAGCCAGCCTGCAAGCTCCCACCAGAGCCGCAGACCCCACTGGTGCTGGTGGCCCAAAAAGGAAGAGTGCGGGTATGGAGGAAGGCACCTCTAAGACCCCGTGCCTGTGGCTGTGGCCGTGGTCATGTCGTCAGCATCTTGAGAGAAGTCTTCCTTCACTGAGCAGCCAGCACCAGGAGTCACACAGGGTATGCCTCATACATACTGGCGCTGGCTGGCTCCTTCAGAAGACCTGGGTTTGCATATCACCTCTGCCCCACTTTGAGCTGACGTGTGACCTTGAGCCTTTACCTAACCTCTCTGACCCTCAGATTCACCATCAGTGAAAAGGTGCAACGGAGACAATGATAGTGCCTGTCTTAAAGGGTTGTAAGCATAGTAATCATAACAGAAAGAGTAGTTTATCACGACCATTTGTTTAATGCAGGACCCATATGGATGCAAAGGAGGCATCAAGACCTCTGGTGTCCGAGGATGTGTGTCAGGGTCAGCCTGGGGGGAATCTCTGCTGACTTCCAGGGCTACCAGTCCCCACCGATGTAAGTCTTCCGCTTCTCCAAGATGAAAGAAATAGGGAGAGAGAGAGGGAGGGAGGGAAGGAGGGAGGGGGTGGCTTCCCTCTCTCTCCCTTTCTCTCTCACACGCACAGATTAACAATCTTGTAAGAGCTGATTTTCTGACTCTATTGCTTTTTTTCCCCTGAAGATCCTACAGTGTTCTGCATGGATTAAACTCTATCCATGGACTGGAGTGTACCTATGACAGATTCCTGAGTTTAGAGGCATAGGGTTGCAAGGGTAAGCAGGTGCTACCTCAGAATACTCGCCCAGCTGCCATCTCAGAGGCCTAGACACTTGCCTGGCCTCTTGAGCAATCCCATACACCTAGTGTGATCCATGGACAAGAGTGCATTGCACTCGAGGGATGCTACTCAGAAATCCCACTAAAGTTCTTTGAATAAACCGTGTGTGTGTGCGCGCGTGCACGTGCATCTGTGTACTGCATGCACGCACACATGTACCTTTTCCCCAAAATTGGAATGTTGGATGTGGGCCATTTTTATCTGCACCCACCACTTCTCACCCTTCACCCCTTCCATCTGAAACCTCCCCTAACACTTCAGGCTGCTCTTGGTCTGCTGCTGAGTTGGGGTCGGGAGAGGCTCTGGGCAGGTGACTTTCAGTGGCCAGCCCAGCATGGCTGCATGTGAAATGGGTTTGGACAAATAAATGGGGAAGTAAGTGGATGTTGTGATGTAAGCCTTTCCTACTGACCCATTCCAGAGGGTGTCTTGCCAGTGACAGTACTTCTGACCCCAGAAATTGCATCCCTAACTCAGGAAAGAGGAGGGCTTGACTTAGTCCTTGAGATCTCTGGAACCATCTACCCCCAACTCCAGGGCTAGTGGCCCTGAGGAGTAATGCAAGTCTCTGGGGCTCCAGGGTCTGCAGGCCAGGCTAGATTCCAGCTCTGCCATCCCTGTGCTCATCCTGGTACCTGGCACAGTACCTGGCCCAGAGATTTGCAATAGACATTGGCTGAATGAATGAACTTGGTCAAGTGCCTTAAACTGAACTGTAGTTTCCTCTCCTATAAACATACAAATGGGACAGTGTCAGCTCTTACTCACCAAGCTGTTGTGCAGGGCAAACAAGAATATGTAGAGACTGGAGTCTCACAGCCAGGGTTGAATCCTAGCTCTGCCCCCTTCCTAGCTGTGACGTCAGATAACCTCTCTGAGCCTCAGGTTCCTCAACTGTGAAAGGGAGTAGTAATGAAACTTTCCTCACTAGGGTGGGAGCTCAGTGCTTGGCACAGTAATACACAATACAGTATTTTCATCCTACTTATGAAAGTGCTTTGAAACTACAAAATACCTTGCAGATATGAATTACTATTTCTCTGTCCAGGCATCCTATTTCAGAGAACAAACTCTCTTTTGCTGGGAAAGAGTTCATACAATTAACAAACATAGCAATAATCATAGTGATTATGTTTATTGAGTATCTATTACATGCCAGGCACCATGTTGCCTACTTTGCACACATCATCTCATGGGAGCTATGAGTTCTAATGCTTCCATTTTATAGGTGAGGAAACTGAGGCACAGAGAGGATCAGTTATTTCCCCAGAGTCCCAGAACTAGGAAGCAGAGCAACTAGGATTTCCAAGACCGGGATCTCTTCTAAACCCAGGACCTTCAGAGGCTCAGCCCCTGCATTGCCGGCAGGCCTTGTAGGAAGAGCTCTCCCTGCCCAAGGGTGGGGATCAGGGGAGAGCTTTGGAGAACCAGGCTCTGTATCCTCCACCTGATGACCCAGGCTCAGGATTCTGATCCAGTGGCACCTTTCCCCAGGAGCACAATGCCTCATCTGATCTTACATAACTCTCTTCCCACCCCCATGGTTTATATAAGACACCCAGTAAAAACACTGCCGGGTATCAGGGCTTAGGGAGAACTAGGATGTGCTCCAAATGTGCTCTTGCCCTCCACTCCTCCCCACGACCCCCCTCATGCTCACTCTTTTCCTCCTTGCCTCTGCACATGCCTGCATGCATGAACACACCTGTGCACACGTGCCTATGAGTGCATATTTGTACAGAATAGAGGGCACAAACACACGTTAGTACAAACATGTTTTCACTGTCCTTTTCCTTTATACAGTGAGAAAATCCTGCAAAGCTTCCCCACTAAGGCTTTCCTTTTTCAACAAATTCAGGAACCTTAACTCTTGAATCTCCTCCTCTTGCCCCAGTCACAATTAGTAGCAGATCCATCTGATTAGAGGGAAATTCTCTTAGTGGTCACTCTAGCTTGGCCAGCCAGAAACCAGCATCTAAGCCTGTGTTCCTCCTGAAACCGTTTTCCAGTCATTTTGGGGTTTTACGTCAACTCCTGTGGCTCTCTGAGCTGCATTCTCCTGGGCATTGTCTCAGCACAGGTCTCCACACCTGTGCTATATGAAGCCGGACATCCAGGCTGACTAAATCATTAAAGGTGGCTCTCCCCAGCTTCTGGTCCCTGGCCTTTCCTGGCCTGATCTAACTGAATGAACTCTTCAGGTCTGAGATTGGGGTGAAGGGGTGGGGGGTGGGGTGGGAAGGTGAGGCGTCCTGATGATGATTCTGANTTCAGGTCTGAGATTGGGGTGAAGGGGTGGGGGGTGGGGTGAGAAGGTGAGGCGTCCTGATGATGATTCTGACCACACAGAAGGGCTTGAGAGCCAGGCAGATTCTGGATCCGTGACCATGTATACCCCCTCCCCTCGCATGGAATAAGTGCTCAAGACAAGAGATGGTGTTCTCTTCACTTCTCTTCCCAAAGCCCTCCTCCTTCCCATCCACCTACACTTTCACCCATAGCAAAAGAGACTAGAGGGAGAAATCCATTAGAACCCTACCCCCAAAATCTTCCAAGCACTGGGGTGCCTGCATGGGGTTGGCACTGGGGCTAAGGGGGACTTACACAGGCTACCAAGTCGCCCCCGTCCCTGTCTGAGCTGCCCTGTCTCCCACCCCCTGGCTTCAGCACTGTCGCAAACAGACACCTGAAGACAGCAGAGCCACTCACTCCCACTTGGCCAGTGAGTGCCAAGGTGCTTACTGCTTAACACTGCCATAAGGGAATTCTGCATCTAGGAGAGGTGCCAAGGTTCAGGGCAGCCAGGGGCACCTCCAAATGGGAGGCTCCAAATTCCCTGAACAGCTGTATTTGGGTGCCATTTCCTCCATTTTAAACATCCTGGGTCCATGGCACTCTGAAGCCCTCTCCCAAGTTTACATTACAAACACACATAGCCTGGGATGCAGTGCAGGCACTTCTTTAGAGTCTACTCACCTACCCTCTGCAAGGATGGGGTCAAAACAAGCCCTTAGATGGCCCGATAATTAAGTTTTAATTAGATATTGTACCCACCCCAATTAAATGTATATGTTCATTGTCTTTATTAATATTGCTGTTTTCTCCCTTTTGGAGTGAAGTTACTGATTTTTTTAATGTCATGGAAGGGTCTCAAATTTCCCAAAGATTTAATTAACCCCACCAGAGGTGCCAGCGCCCTGCACGACCTCCCTTTTCCACTCCTAGGCTAGTGCCTCAGAGTGGAGCCTCAGGAGACCCCCTACCTGTGCGGAGACTCCCCCGTCGGGAGGCCAGGCGTCGGGTGAGCCGCTTCCAGTGCTTACTGCTGGGGTGCACACCGGCCACCCGCCCCCGGCCACACAACTCAACACACACACCACAGAGGTGGGGATGAGAAGCCCCAGGAAGCCGGGCGGCTGCAGTTTTATTACGAGATTTCTTTCCAGATGCATAATCAGACCAACAAGCTCGGCGACTCGGATTCTTCCACAATTCATTCCGACCTTCCTCGTTACTCTGCCCCGCCTCACCCCACCTACGTACCACACAAAACTCCTACACGAATGACCTCAGCCCAAAACGCTGCATCTCAGCCCCTCCCACCCTGCTTCCAACTTGTTTTTTTAAAAAAACGGTTAAGAACCCCCATCCTCCTCCATCCCGCGCCCCACCCCCCACTGCCCCCGATGCCGAAGCGCCCACAGGACTGAGCAGGGTGTGTAAGTCCCTTCCCGCGCCGTAGCCTCGAGTCCCGTAGTGTCCCGGACCCGGGCGCCCCACGGCACGTCTCTGTCCCTCGCCCTGTCCGTCGTGGGATGCTGGCAGTGCCTGGGGAGGGGATGAGGGTCCTGCTCTCCCTTCTCCGTCTCCTTCCAGCCACGCCGACGAGGGCGGCCCAGGAGGCACTCAGTACAGCCCCAGGATGGCGGCGCCCACGTCCTTGGAGGGCCGGCGCTCCTGCACCAGAAAGTTGATCATGCTCTCCGACTTGATGAGCAGGTTGCAGCCCAGGAAAAAGACGCCGAACACCACGGTGAGCGACAGCACGCAGAGCACCGCGATCTGCGCCACGCGGGACACCCACAGGCTTCGCTCGTCGGGCGCCAGCCCCGAGGGGACGCCGTCGCTGGCGGCCAGCGGCGCGCCCCCGGGGCAGCAGCCCAGCCACGTGCCCAGCCCTTGGCTGCGGTTCTCCAGGGCGGCCCCGGCGCTGCCGCCCAAGACGCCCGCCGCCTCCAGGCCGCTGTGGTTCAGGAAGGTCACGTTCATCGCCGCTCGGCGCCCGAGGTCTCGGCCCGCGGTCCGGGGCGCGCGGGGAGGCTCGCGGGCGCCCGCCTCTCCGAGACGCTCGGGTCCGTCCGTGCGCGGGGAGAGGAGGAGATGGGGAGGCTGCCCGCGCACCGGCGCCCCCTCGGACCGCCTGCTCCTGGGACCCGGACGGGAGGCGGCGGCCGCGAGGACAGAGCAACAGGCGACGCGGCGGCTGGAGCTGGAGAGCCGAGCACTGCACGCGGCTGCCTGTAGCGCGGCCCGCCGCCCCGCCCCTCGCACCGGCCCCGCCCCGCGCCCGGGCCCCCGGCGGGCGGGGCGGGCATCCTGCTGCCGGCGCAGCCCTCGCGGAGTCCCAAGGCGGGCCGCGGTCGGGAGATCGGGCAGCCGCAGACGGACTGTTCCGGGCTGGAAAATCTCTCCAAGGTGCCCATTCCAGAATTTGTGCTCTTAGTTAAATTCTTCCTGAAGTCTGACCTAAACCTCTTCTCCGCCCTTTGCTTCCGTGCCGGTAAGTCTCCGTCGACATCCGAGCTGTAGCTGGACACCAGCGTTGGCCTCCCATTCCTCTCTGCCGTCTCCCCGGGGCCGTGGCCGTGGGTGCTGGAGCCCTCCGCCGCCCCCCCACCCAGCCTGCCCCGGGCTGAGCGCTGTCGCGGTGAGGAGCGCTCTCTGTCCCTTCTTCCACTCCCACCCTGCCCCGTTTGATTTGCTTTAAGTTTTAAAGTAAATTATTGCGGTTTTTCTTTTTTCTCCACTCCCTTTACCAAAAACGCGTCTTCGTAAGATAGAAAGTACAGATTAGCAAAATGAAAAAAATCTAAAACCCCATAATCTTACCACCCAGAGAGTGTCGATATTACCACCTTTGGTACAAAACCTTCCGGCTTTTTTCTCTGCGTCTCTCTAAGTACGTATACTCAAAATAGGATGTACTCTCCGTTCATACCGTTTTGTACTCTTTGTTCTGCAACCTTCTGTCATTTCATACTGTATCTTTTAGGACGGATAAATATGCATCTAAACACTGGCTCCGAATTGCCTGAAGGAGTTCTTAAAGCTGGATTGCTGGGCCCAGCCCAGTTTCTGAATCAGTAGATTTGGGGTGAGGCCCCAGAATGTGCATTTCTAACAGATTCCCAGGTGATGTTCATCTCTTCAGGGACTGCACTTTGAGAACTACTGCTCTGTAACATCATTTTTGATGAAAGTATGGTGTTTCGAGCTAGTACAGTTTACTATTTTTGGATATTTGAGTTGTTTCCTTTTCTGTTTGTTTTTTTGTATCAGAAACAGTATTGTCATAAAGGGCCTTGTAACAAAGTCTTTGGGCAGAAGCTGTATTTTTAAATTAGGATTTTATTTTGCAAAAGGGACCTGCAGAATCAAAAAATTACATCCCACCAAATTTCTTTCCAGAAATGTACCAGTGTACACTTCAGCCCTACGGGGAAGGGGGCCCTTATACCCAGTCATGATTATTGTCATTATCTTTTAAATCTTTGCCTGAGTTTATGGTATGGGGATGGTTTCTCACCATTGAGCTCATTTGTATTCTTTGATTGTTGTGAAGAAGGAAGGAAAGCATTTTGGAGCCTTTGCAGTAGTCCAGGCAAAAGATGCTGGCTGGAGGCTTGGATTCTGGTGGGGACGGTGGTGGTGGGGTGGGGGGTGGAAGAGGCAAGTAGATGGCAAGGGCTTGGCAAATTGGAATAAGGGGATGCACAATATCCCCATATGTGAGCATCTCAAAGCCCCTGCCCCACCATTAGTAGAATACTAAGGTGTATGTGTTTGTGTCCTGAGAAGCTTTAAATTTCTTATTTTAGGTATGAAGAAACAGATGCACACACATAAATACACACACAGAGACATGCAGGAGATCCTGAGAAAAGCCCTCACTCTCCTGGTCCTGAGAAAGCAGCCTGGCACAAGGGAACTCAGAGTTTTTTGGGCAGGAGCCTCCCTTCCCTGACCACCCCTCAGAGCCAGGATAGAACAGGGACACAACAGGTGTCTGGCCCCGACATTTTCTCCTCTGCTTTTGACCAGTTGGGTTTCTTTAGAAAAATGCTTGATTATGCCTTTTGTCCATCCTCCTCCTGAGAACCAACCCCTCTGATATCCCTGGACCTGGAGCTCATGGTGTTGATGCCACCCAGCTGAGGTCAGCCTGTCTGCTGAACACAAAAGGGGCTGGAGTGGAGTAAAGGCAGGGGACAGGGGCCTGCCTACAAGAAGCTGGGGGAGACTGATGGTCGGCCTTTCCTTTATTGAGCACCTACTATATGCTCAATACGTTAAATATATTACTGAATTCTTACACCATCTTTTGGGTCCCCCTGGATTGTCCCTTGATATGAGGAAACAGGCTCAGACTAGTTAATTGACTTAGTTAAGACCACACAGCTAGTTAAGCATCAGAGCCAGAGTTTGAGCCCACATCTGTCTGTTCCAAAGCTATGCTCTTTAATTATTCCTGTCATCCCTCTCTTCCATCATCCCTGAACTGGTTTCTCTGGATACCTGGAGGGAGAGGAAGATGTTGTCTTTGACCTGGGAACAGGAAAGGAGAGAGAGAACTTGGGCCACTCAAATGAGAACAAGCAAATGTTCTTTATTTATTCAGAGCTTGCTACAGCAAGAGAATCAGCCACCATCACTGGAATTTGACAGAGACACAAAGGCAGATAGGGTGGGAAAGCTTGGTATGAGAAAGAGGTACGCTTTCAGTTGTGTCCTGACTGGGGACTGTTGGCCTGGAAAAGCTATAGGTGGATTAACTAGAAGTATGGCAGGAAAAAGTCAAATATTGTTTAGGGAAGCATCTTTGACTTTTCCCACTTTGTCTAATACTGGAAGTGGGAGCAAGACATTTTGGGCTGGTTCCTATAGGGCGTGTGGTTTGGCTTCCTGGACTAGTTGCTGCAGGTTGCAGGGCAGAGTTGTGTTTTCATATGTGGTCTGGCCATTGTCAGTTTATATATTCAGTTCTCAGACTGGTCCTGGAATTCAAGAGTAAGGCACCTTCCTGGCCTGGACCTAGATAGATGCTTCCTATCCAGGGCTCCCTCCTCAGCTTTTCCCTTCTGCCCTTTCTGGAGCCACAGTCCCAGCAAGTCTGGTGGCAATTTAATGTGCATTAACTCTGAATTCTTACAATAACCCTGAAAGGTCAGTGTATTCATTATTTATTGCTGCATATGTGCAAATTGTCCCTAAATTGAGCAAATATTTATTATCTCACAAGGTTTCTGAGGGCCAGGAATCAAAATGGCTTAGCTGGGTGGTTCTGGCTCAGGGTCTCTCATGAGGTTGTAGTCACAGTGTTGTCCAGGGCCACAGTCACTACAGGCTTGACTGAGGGTAGAAGACAGCCTCCAGGATGACTCCCTGACAAGGCTGTTGTCTTGAGGCCTCAATTCTTGGCCATGTAGACCTTTCCATAGGGCTGCTTGATTGTCCTCCTGACCTGGCAGCTTGCCTCAGGGCCATTCTTGAAGAATGTGCTGGAAGGTGTGCAGCTGGTGGAAGGGAGAGGGACAGAAGAGTGAGGTTGCAGAGTGACATTGTTAGCTGTCATTGTTATTTGATCTTCACAGCAAGCCTTACAGAGTGGAATCGTTAGCCCCATTTGATAGATGAGACAGTGAAGACCTAGAGAGGAGGCAATCTTACCTGAGGTCACAGAGCTGGTAATTGGCAGTCAGGATTTAAACTCTTAACTAACTACCTTATAACCTAGCCCAAGCACTTTCCAGCACTTAGTGCGTGTCTGTTGTGGGGAGGAGACTTCATTGTTAGGGAAAGACACCTCCCGCCAACCCTCAGGGCTTGGGAGGGGCCTCAGGAGCCTCAGAAAGTGCCTGTCAGCTGGGCTGCCTTCCCTGCTTTAGAGATAAGGAAGTGGGTGCCTCTGGGCTCAGCTGCCACCCACTCAGAACTATTTTTACCTGCCACCTCAGTGACAAGTCTGCATCTCCCAGCTCTGGAAAGGCCATCAGGGCAGTCTGGCTGCCCCGGGGAAGAGCCTCCACCCAGAGGCCACTGTTGATGCCCTGCTATCCCTGCTTCTGTTTCTAGATGAAGCTTTAACTCCCTGGTGTGTCTTGTTCTTCAGGGGTCAATAAGATGCTGCCCTCCCCTAGGTTCAGAGGTTAATAAATCCTCCCTCATTAGTACCACTTGCCAGATGAACCTATCTGAACTAAAACGTTTAAATCTGCAGATATTTTAAATTGTTCACATTTCAAACAAGGTTAAAAAGTTCTCCATGCATGAGTTATTTTAATGACAAGATAAGAATCATTTATTTGCATGCTCAACTGTACACATACACACACACACACACACATGGGTGCACGCAAAAAATGTAAATATATGACTGTGGTCTGACAACATACTTTGGGGAGGCCCAAGAGCCCTTGAACATAATTTATTTTCTGAAGTGGTTTCAAACAACCTCCTAAGATCCTACTTACACTATTCATTTGTTTGGGGAACGTTTCCTAGAGCAGACAAAGGTTGCCTCCTGCCAGATTCCTGTCCAAATGATCTCACATTTCATATCAGCAGAGGGGAAGTTAATAACATTTTACTGCATATGGCACAAAATTAAAATAAACATAGATTGCTGTGTTTGGCCTTTGCCTTCTAAGAGACTTCAGAGTTGGACCCTGTGCTGTTACCCATACACAGTGGAGAGCAGAGAAGGGCCCGCCAGGCAGTTCAGGCCTCCATGGCTTTACCCAAAGCAGCAGGAGAGATGCCTCAGGGTGTCTGTGCAATAGTAGATGGGGGCCTGGGCCAGTAGCATGTGGTGGAGAACTTGAGACAGGATCCCAAGTATCAGGGAGCTTCACATCCACCTCCTGCCACCTATATGATTTGTATTTTGGAGAGTACCTGGAGTTTGGAAATCTGGGATCTATTTCTTCCTTTGCTCCCAGTTGACTGTGACCTTGGACAAGTCAGCCATCCTCTCTGGGCCTTGATTGGCTCATCTGTAAATCAAGGGAGCTAAGGTATCTTCAATAAAGCTTCAATAAAGCTTCAATCAAGGCTCAGGTAATCTTCAATAAAGCTTTATTTACAAAGACTGGGAGTGGGCCAGACGTGCCATTGTCAGCTTTCCTCTGCTGTGTTTCCTGTGGGGTACAGAGAGCCTGTACCCCACATCTGCTTAGCCCAACATCTGCTTAGGCCTTCATTACCAAATCTGTAAAATAAGGAGCAGGTTAATGTCTGCATTCCCCAAACTACTCAATAGAAGTGACACTGACATAAACAGGTTTCTCTGTTATGGGACTTCTCAAGGTCTTTAGTATGTCAGTGTGCCTTGTGGATTTCTCAGAGGGAATGCAAGTTGCAGGGTTTGACTAACACATCTCATATTTTTTGCCACTGTGGTCCACTCAGCACAGTTTGGGAAATGCCCTGTAATCTCCTTAAAGCCTCAGTTTCCTTCCTGTAGAATAGCAATGACAGTGGTACCTGCCTCCCAGAATTGTT